ATGATGGTGGAGGGTGGTGGTGGTTATAGTGGTGGTGGTGGTGATGGTGGTGGTTATGGTAGTGGTGGTAATAGTGGTGAAAGGTAGTGGTGGTGATAATGGTTTGGGTAGTGGTGGTGATGATGGTGGAGGGTAGTGGTGGTGATGGTGAAGGGTAGTGGTGGTGATGATAGTGGAGGGTAGTGGTGGTGATGATGGTGGAGGGTAGTGATGGTGGTGGGTAGTAGTGGTGATGATGATAAACAGATAAAGGGTAGTGGTGGTGATGGTGGTGGAGGATAGTGATGGAAGTTAGTGGTGGTGGAGGGTAGTGGTGGTGAGGATGATGGAGGGTAGTTGTAGTGATGGTGGTGGGTAGTAGTGGTGATGATGGTGGAGGGTAGTGGTGGTGATTATGGTGGAGGGTAGTGGTGGTGATTGTGGTGGAGGTTAGTGGTGGTGATGGTGGTGGAGGGTAGTGGTGGTGATAACGGTGATCATAATGGTGGTGGGTAGCAGTGGTGATGATGGTGGAGGGTAGTGATAGTGGTGGTGAGAATGATGGAAGATAGTGGTGGAGGTTAGAGGTGATAATGGTGGAGGGTATTGGTGATGATATGGGTGGAGGGTAGTGGTGATGGTGGGAAGTGGTGGTGATGATGGTGGAGGGTAGTGGTGGTGATGATGGTGGACGGTATTGGTGGTGATTGTGGTGGAGAGTAGTGGAGGTGATGGTGGTGGAGGGTACTGGTCGTTATGGTGGTGGTGGTGAAAGGGTAGTGGTGGTGAACATGGTGGTGGGGAGTGGTGATGATGATGGAGGGTAGTTGTGATGATGGTGGAGGGTAGTGGTGATGATGGTGGAGGGTAGTGGTGGTGATGATGGTGGAGGAGGGTAGTGGTGGTGATGATGGTGGTGGAGAGTAGTGATGGTGGTGGTGGGTAGTAGTGGTTAAGATGGTGGTGGGTAGTGGTGATGATGGTGGAGGGTAGTGGTGGTGATGATGGGGGAGGGTAGTGGTGGTGATGATGGTGGTGGAGGGTAGTGGTGGTGATGATGGTGGTAGAGGGTAGTGGTGGTTATGGAGGTGGTGGGTAGTTGTGGTGATGGTGGTGAAGGGTATTGGTGGTGATTGTGGTGAAGGGTATTGGTGGTGATGGTGGTGGAGGGTAATGGTGGTTATGGTCGTGGTGGGTAGTGGTGGTAATAGTGGTGAAGGGTAGTGGTGGTGATAATGGTGGTTGGTAGTGGTGGGGATGATGGTGGAGGGTAGTTGTGGTGAAGATGAAGGGTAGTGGTGGTGATAATGTTGGTGGGTAGTGGTGAGGATGATGGAGGGTAGTGGTGGTGATGATGGTGGAGGTTAGTGGTGGTGGTGGAGGTTAGTGGTGGTGGTGGAGGGTAGTGGTGGTGATGGTGGATTGGGTAGTGGTGGTGATGTTGGACGGGAGTGTTGATGATCGTGGTGGAGGGTAGTGGTGATGATGATGGTGCTGGAGGGTAGTGGTGTTTATGGTGGTGGTGAAGAGTAGTGGTGGTGGAGGGTAGTGGTGGTTATGGTAGTGGTGGTAATAGTGAAGGGTAGTGGTGGTGATAATTGTGGTGAGTAGTAGTGGTGATGGTGGAGGGTATTGGTGGTGATGGTGAAGGGAAGTGGTGGTGATAATGGTGGTGGGAAGTGGTAGTGATGATGGTGGAGGGTAGTGGTGGTGAGGATGATGGAGGGTAGTGGTGGTGATGGTGGAGGGCAGTGGTGGTGATGATGGAGGGTAGTGTTGATGATGGTGGAGGGTAGTGGTGATGATGGTAGAGGGTAGTGGTGGTGATGGTGGTGGAGGGGAGCGGTGGTGATGATGGTGGTGGGTAGTGGTGGTGATGATTTTGGAGGGTAGTGGTGGTGATGATTTTGGAGGGTAGTGGTGGTGGTGATAATGGTGGAGAGTAGTGGTTGTGGTGATGATGGTGCAGGGTAGTGGTGATGATGATGAAAGGTTGTGGTGGTGGTGATGGAGGGTAGTGGTGGTGGTGATGATGGAGAGTAGTGGTGGTTGTGTGGTGGAGGGTAGTGGTGATGGTGGTTGAGGGTAGTGATGGTGGTGGTGATGGTGGTTGGTAGTGGTGTTGATGGTGGTGGGTAGTGGTGGTGGTGATGGTGGTGGGTAGTGGTGGTGGTGATGGTGGTGGGTAGTGGTGGTGATGGTGGTGGAGGTTTGTGGTGGTGGTGATGATGGTGGAGGGTAGTGATGGTGAGTAGTGGTGGTGGTGGTGGGTAGTGGTGGTTATAGCGGTGGAGAGTAGTGGTGGTGATGGTGGTGGAGGGTAATGGTGGTGATAATGATAGTGGGTTATGGTGGTGGAGGGTAGTGGTGGTGGAGGGTATTGGTGGTGATAATGATAGTGGGTTATGGTGGTGGAGGGTAGTGGTGGTGGAGGTTAGTGGTGGTGGAGGGTAGTGGTGGTGGAGGGTAGCGGTGGTGGAGGGTAGTGATGGTGATGGTGGTGGTGTTGGAGGGTAGTGGTGGTGGAGGGTAGTGGCGGTGGTGAGGGGTAGCGGTGATGGAGGGTAGTGGTGGTGGAGGGTAGTGGTGGTGATGGTGGTGGTGTTGGAGGGTAGTGGTGGTGGAGGGTAGCGAGGGTGATGGTGGTGGAGAGTAGTGGTGGTGGGTAGTGGTGGTGGTGGGTGAAGGTGGTGTAGGGTAGTGGTGGTTATGGTGGTGGAGGGTAGAGGTGGTGGAGGGTAGTGGTGGTAGAGGGTAGTGGTGGTGGAGGGTAGTGGTGGTGGAGGGTAGTGGTGGTGGAGGGTAGTGGTGGTGGAGGGTAGTGGTGGTGGAGGGTAGTGGTGGTTATGAGGGGTAGTGGTGGTGGAGGGTAGTGGTGGTGGAGGGGTAGTGGTGGTGGAGGGGTAGTGGTGGTGGAGGGGTAGTGGTGGTGGAGAGGGTAGTGGTGGTGGAGGGTGGTAGTGGTGGTGGAGGGGTAGTGGTGGTGGAGGGGTAGTGGTGGTGGAGGGGTAGTGGTAGTGGTGGTGGTGGTGGGTAGTGGTGGTGGAGGGTAGTGGTGGTGGAGAGGGGTAGTGGTGGTGGAGGGTAGTGGTGGTGGAGGGTGGTAGTGGTGGTGGTGAGAGGGTAGTGGTGGTGGAGGGGGTAGTGGTGGTGGAGGGTAGTGGTGGTGGAGGGTAGTGGTGGTGGAGAGGGGTAGTGGTGGTTAGAGGGTAGTGGTGGTGGAGGGTGGAGTGGTGGTGGTGGAGGGTAGTGGTGGTGGTGGAGGGTAGTGGTGGTGGAGGGGTAGTGGTGGTGGAGGGGTAGTGGTGGTGGAGGGGTAGTGGTGGTGGAGAGGTGGTAGTGGTGGTGGAGAGGGTAGTGGTGGTGGAGGGTAGTGGTGGTGGAGGGTAGTGGTGGTGGAGGGTGGTGGTGGTGGTGGAGGTGGTAGTGGTGGTGGAGGTGGTAGTGGTGGTGGAGGGGTAGTGGTGGTGGTGGTGGTGGTGGGTGGTGGTGGTGGGGTAGTGGTGGTGGAGGGGTAGTGGTGGTGGAGGGTGGTAGTGGTGGTGGAGGGGTAGTGGTGGTGGAGGGGTAGTGGTGGTGGAGAGGGTAGTGGTGGTGGAGGGTAGTGGTGGTGGAGGGTAGCGGTGGTGGAGGGTGGTAGTGGTGGTGGAGGGTAGCGGTGGTGGAGGGTGGCAGTGGTGGTGGAGAGTGGTGGTGGTGGTGGAGGGTAGTGGTGGTGGAGGGTAGTGGTGGTGGAGGGGGTAGGGGTGGTGGAGGGGTAGTGGTGGTGGAGAGTAGTGGTGGTGGAGGGTGGTGGTGGTGGTAGTGGTGTGGTAGTGGTGGTGGAGGGTGGTAGTGGTGGTGGAGGGTGGTAGTGGTGGTGGAGAGGGTAGTGGTGGTGGTGGGTGGCAGTGGTGGTGGAGTGGTAGTGGTGGTGGAGGGTGGTAGTGGTGGTGGAGGTGGTGGTGGTGGTGGTGGTGGAGTGGTGGTGGTGGAGGGTAGTGGTGGTGGAGGGGTAGTGGTGGTGGAGGAGTGGTGGTGGAGGAGGGTAGTGGTGGTGGAGGGGTGGTGGTGGTGGAGAGTGGTAGTGGTGGTGGAGAATGGTAGTGGTAGTGGTGGTGGAGAGTGGTAGTGGTGGTGGAGAGTGGTAGTGGTGGTGGAGAGTGGTAGTGGTAGTGGTGGTGGAGAGTGGTAGTGGTGGTGGAGAGGTAGTGGTGGTGGAGAGTGGTAGTGGTGGTGGAGAGTGGTAGTGGTGGTGGAGGGTGGTAGTGGTGGTTATGAGTGGTAGTGGTGGTGGAGAGTGGTAGTGGTGGTGGAGGGTGGTAGTGGTGGTGGAGGGTGGTAGTGGTGGTGGAGAGTGGTAGTGGTGGTGGAGAGTGGTAGTGGTGGTGGAGGTGGTAGTGGTGGTGGAGGGGTAGTGGTGGTGGAGGGGTAGTGGTGGTGGAGGTGGTAGTGGTGGTGGAGGGGTAGTGGTGGTGGAGGGTAGTGGTGGTGGAGGGTAGTGGTGGTGGAGGGTGGTAGTGGTGGTGGAGAGTGGTAGTGGTGGTGGAGAGTGGTAGTGGTGGTGGAGGGTAGTGGTGGTGGAGGGTAGTGGTGGTGGAGGGTAGTGGTGGTGGAGGGGTAGTGGTGGTGGTGGAGGGTAGTGGTGGTGGAGGGTAGTGGTGGTGGAGGGTAGTGGTGGTGGAGGGTAGTGGTGGTGGAGGGTAGTGGTGGTGGAGGGTAGTGGTGGTGGAGGGTAGCGGTGGTGGAGGGTAGTGGTGGTGGAGGGTAGTGGTGGTGGAGGGTAGCGGTGGTGGAGGGTAGCGGTAGTGGAGGGTAGTGGTGGTGGAGGGTAGCGGTGGTGGAGGGTAGTGGTGGTGGAGGGTAGTGGTGGTGGAGGGTAGCGGTGGTGGAGGGTAGTGGTGGTGGAGGGTAGCGGTGGTGGAGGGTAGTGGTGGTGATGGTGGAGGGTAGTGGTGGTGATGGTGGAGGGTAGTGGTGGTGGAGGGTAGCGGTGGTGGAGGGTAATGGTGGTGATGGTGGAGGATGATAAAGGCACTAACCCTACAGTGGGAACCACTTGTCAAGCGTCGCTGTGTTGAGAAATTCACTGCTGGAGTAAGAGCCTCCAGTGACTGGGCTGAGAGAGGCGCTGGCACGTCTACCCCCTACACTTTATTGTCGTCTACTGGGGTTCAGTGTTTGAAGGGAGCTGATTTGCCCGACCCTCGTGACGTCACCGTCTAGGGTGGCCGCTGATGGGTGGAGGCGCCACATGTACACAAACCGACCAGGACCGTTAGGGTACTAGCAGGCAACCACTCGTGGTGAATGGTGGTAGCTTGTGGTGGACCTTGGTTGTGGTGGTGGATGGCGGTAAGCTGTGGTGGTGGTAGGCTTTGGTGGTGGTGGTAGGTTGTGCTGATGGATGGTGGTTGATGGGGGTGGGCTTTGGTGGTGGTACATGGTGGTAGGCGGGCGACAACAGGTAGCAGACTGTAGCCGGCCGCCTGTACTCACCTATTTGTGCTTGCGGGGGTTGAGCTCTGGCTCTTTGGTCCCGCCTCTCAACTGTCAATCAACTGGTGTACAGGTTCCTGAGCCTACTGGGCTCAATCATATCTACATGTAAAACTGTGCATGGAGTCAGACTCCTCCACATCACTGCCTAATGCATTCCATCCATTAACTACTCTGACACTGAAAAAGTTCCTTCTAACGGCCCGTGGCTCATGCGAGTACTCAGTTTCCCCCTGTGTCCCCTTGCTCGCGTCCCGCCAGTGTGGCCGCCCGCCTGTGGCCACCCACCTGTGGCCGCCCACCTGTGGCCGCCCGCCTGTGGCCGACCGCCTAGCTGTGGCCGCCCGCCTGTGGCCGCCCACCTGTGGCCGCCCGCCTGTGGCCGCCCGCCTGTGGACGCCCGTCTGTGGCCGCCCACCTGTGGCCGCCCACTTGTGGTCGCCCACCTGTGGCCGCCCACCTGTGGCCGCCCGCCTGTGGCCGACCGCCTAGCTGTGGCCGCCCGCCTGTGGCCGCCCACCTGTGGCCGCCCGCCTTTGGACGCCCGTCTGTGGCCGCCCACCTGTGGCCGCCCGCCTGTGGCCGCCTGCCTTTGGCCGCCCACCTGTGGCCGCCCACCTGTGACCGACCGCCTGTGGCCGCCCACCTGTGGCCGCCCACCTGTGGCCGACCGCCTGCGGGGAGGGAGATTAGATTAAATGCTTGTCTGATAAATGCTGAGGCCATAGAGGGGAATTGTCTTACTGTGGATGAAATGCTAAGTGATCATTTTTTATTACGAATACAGCTTCAACTAAATAACAAGAATGCCTGCCTTCGGAGGAAAAGTTAGAGTTTAATAAGGGAGAATTAAGGGGTCTTGTTGGTCATGAAGTCTTAGTATGATACTTATAATATCAGTATCAGTATGAAGGCTGATACTTCAGCCTTCATACGGCTGAAGCATTTTATGAAAATCTAATTAAGGAGGTAGATATAGTTAATGCGACATTGAACTGAAGATCATCCACTATATAAAAGCATGTTTATATAAAGCAGTATATAAAAAGACAAGAAGATTCAGGTGTGGTATGAAGGTTGTATGTCAGGTGTGAGATCTTTTGAACTCGGCACACCTCAGGGAGGAGTGTTGAGTCCCACCCTGTTTAATGTACTAATGAATAAGATATCATCTGAGAGATACTCAAATGGGGTAACTCCGATCATATATGCCGGTGTTATTTTGTTTCAGGACAAAGATATTTCAAAGGTTCAAACGGTGTTGTGTAATTTCGGAAACCTGTGTCACCATATGGGACTGGTATTTAACGAAGACAAAACTAAGTTTGAATGCAGAAGTCGGAGGTTATTATATTGAAAATAAAAGATAAAAATATAGAGAGAGTTAATTATATACAAATATTTAGGCATATATGTTGTATATACTTATTAGAGTTTGGAAGCTGAGATGAACAGACTGTTGGATCAATGTGGGAAGAGGTTACAACCTCTGAAGGTCTTGGCATGCTGTGGAAAGGGAGTGGGAGTCCCTGTGCTACCAATGATATACTTGAGTACTGTAAGATCCCTTACTGATTGTGCTACACCTGTCATTTCTTGTTTTGCTAAAGGTAGGATGGGCAAGTTGGAGAAGGTACAAAATGAAGCCATGAGAATTATCTTAGGATGCCCAAAAAACGTTATGACTGAGATAATGAGGATGGAGTTGAATCTGCAGAGTATTGGGGATAGAATTTCAGAGATAAATGTAGCCTCTGCCATTAAATTAATGAGAGGTGGGGGAGCTAATGAATTAATCCTCTCTCTTCAAAAGGTGGGAAGTAATGAACAATGTATGATAAAGAAGAGAGCATGTATGAGTACCTTATGCTCTAATGTTATAAAGTATGATGTTATTCCAGAATGTATTGTTTTGCCTTACAGACAATTCACACCACCATGGGAGGATTGTAAAGTAGATGTAGTAATTATTCCCTTCCAAAAGCCAAAAAGCATGTATGAAATAGGAGAGCTGAGGGCAACATATGATTGTATAATTCGAAAACTGCCTACAGAAAACACTCTACATGTATATTGTGATGGGTCAGTAGCTAGGGATGGGAAGGCAGGATGTGGAGTCTTGATCAGGGAGTACACTGATATCGGCACTGTAGATACTGTTATTAGACGCCACTTAACTGACAATGTCTCTTCATCGCAGGCTGAACTCCAAGGTGTATTAGTAGGATTACAGGAAGTAGTCAAATGTGGTAAAAATGCCTGTGTTTTTTATATACATAGTAGAGGAGCGTTGGAGTCTTTTAAATAGCAGACGCCCAGTATACCAGAATATTGTGATAGAGTGTAGAGAGAATGTTTAGACATTAGAAAAAAAGGTATAAAGTAAGATTCATGTGGATCCCTTCACATGTGGGAATACTGTTGAATAAGGCAGTTGATGACATAGCCAAGAGAGCCACGGAAAAACTTTTGTCGATGTTGTATGTCAGAAAACTTTGAAACAAATAAAGACAATTATCAAGATGATCCAAGAGGATGAAGAAAAAGTTAAGTGAATGGCAATGGTAGACAGTAGTAACACATTTAAGAATTATTCAATAATAAATACAAATTCGTCCTTCACTTATGGTAGAGGAAAGTCTACTTGAAAGGACTCAATTTACAGGAGATTACAGTAGGATACAAATATATCTGGCAATACGGTGTTGATATCAGTGAAAAAGATAAGGAGTGTAAATTGTGTAGTATGCTGTACACCCACATTATGTATTAGAGTATCAACTTATTGATAACTATAGAAATAGAGAAAGTATACTTAGGAGCTACGAACATTTTACCTCAAGAGTGTAACACTTAGATGCTGTGCTTACTATATTAACCTGTAATGTTAAATGGAATTATTGTACTGTGATTAGTGGATTTGAACTTAATAGATAAGTGCGCCCCTTGAGGGACTTAAAGTAGAGGAGGGTAGAAATAGCCTAAGCTACTCTATCCCTTTGAGATGCATCTTATTGTCTCAATAAAAGTACTTGAATTTGAGGAAGCTAATTCATTAGCTCCCTCGCCTCTCATTAGTCTAATCGCCGAAGCCTCATTTATCTCTGATGATCTATCCAAATACTCTGTAAGTTCAATCATATCATGATTATCTCAGTAATATTATTTCTTAGGCCATACCTTTCCTTGAGGTTAGCTTGAAGTGTTTCCGGGGCGGCCACAGACTGGCGTAGCGTCCACAGGAGAGCAGACACAGGCGGGCGGCCACAGACTGGCGTAGCGTCCACAGGAGAGCAGACACAGGAGAGCAGACACAGGCGGGCGGCTACATACGCTGCACACAGGCTGGCGGCCACAGGCTGGTCGCCTGGTTGTATAAAGAATAAATATATTTGATTAAAGAATTTGAATTAGTACAGTTGGGCAGGACTAAAATGCCTAAATCTGTATTCTGTATTGAGCACAGTCGGGAGAGATACATAGTAATTTACACGTGGAAGATATTAAAGGGGCTGGTCCCAAACCTGCACACAAAAATAACACCACACGAGACCAGGAGGCATGGCAGGATGTGCAGAATACCCCCGTTGAAGAACAGAGGTGTAATAGGTACTCTGAGAGACAACTATCAACATCAGAGGCCCGAGACTGTTCAACACCCTTCCTCTACACTTAAGGGGCATAACTGGCCGACCCCCCACAGTGTTCAAGAGAGAACTATCAACATCAGAGGTCCGAGACTGTTCAACACGCTTCTACTACACATAAGGGGCGTAACTTGCCGACTCTCCCAAAGTGTTCAAGAGAGATCTTGATAAACACCTCCAAAGGATACCTGATCATCCAGGCTGTGACTCATACGTCAGGCTGCGAGCAGCTGCGTCCAACAGCCTGGTTGACCAGTTCAGCAAGGAGGAGGCATGGACAAGGACCGGGCCGTGGGGACGCTGTAGCCCGGAATCGTGGCAAGGTAACCGCAAGGTAAGGAAGGCACTGCACAGTCGGGATAGGGGAAGGGGTCATAGACTGGCGAGGGTTTCAGGACTGCACAGGTTGGTGGGGGTTTTGGGCGGGCACTTGAGGGCAGGGGTATCGGGTGGCCACTAACTTATTTGGGGTTTAATAATGTGGGTTTAGGGATGGATGTTGTGTGTGGGAGCAGGTGGGCGGGCACAGTGGGGCACTATTCTGGCAGTGGGGGCAGCGGGTTTAATGCTTCACGGGCACATGTTGTTAGGGAAGGGGGTGTCAGGTTCGGGCTTTTGCAGGAGCTGAGAGGTTAACAAGTATACATGTTGGCCACTGGTCACCCATTGAGTTTATTATTATTATTTTATTTTATTTTATTTATATATATACAAGAAGGTACATTGGGATTGTGATGATACATAGCATAGTAATTACGTTCTTGTAAAGCCACTAGTACGCGCAGCGTTTCGGGCAGAGCATCGGGCAATTATTATTATTATTATTATTATTATTATTATTATTATTATTATTGTTATTATTATTATTATTATTATTATTATTATTATTATTATTTTCTACCACAGACGTGGCCACACATTTACAATGCTAACCAGCATATATACATTTTCTTCTGTCCTCCGTGGACAGGGTGAGGGAAACATATAGTCTCCGTGGTGTAGTGGTAAGACACTCGCCTGGCGTTCCGGGAGCGCTATGTCATGGGTTCGTATCCTGGCCGGGGAGGATTTACTGGGCGCAATTCCTTAGCTGTAGCCTCTGTTTAACGCAACAGTAAAATGTGTACTTGGATGAAAAAACGATTCTTCGCGGCAGGGGATC